CTGCTGTAGTTTGTCAATAAAACATTGGCACGACACCCGAAATCTGGGTTGGCAGTGTTCCCTACGTGAGCCGAATTCACGCCCCATAAATTTGGAACCAACAACATTGCTTTCTCACTTCGAGTTGTTACTTGTTTGCAATCCATAGTCAAGTATACCATCAAAAAAAAAACGAACAAAATTTATTTTCGACGGTAATAGAATTTCAGAAGCATGCACTAATCTAAGTGAGTCTGAATTAAAAAAGAATTGTCTGTGTAAAACACTTTTCGAATTGCGACTACACCATGGTGTAAAAACTACCGTAACTTTATTTGAAGCGACTTTCTATGTTTGGTCATAAACAACACATATAACTTCATTTGCAGATTTCCTTTCAGTACGGTCTATGTTTGGTTTTGCGTTAACTAGTTGGAATGAATACAATATACATTATATAATTACACGGCTTTTCTGGTGCGAATTAAAAATTCTGTGATAAAGTAAGATGCAATGATCATAGTCGACTCGTTTTGGTACTCCTGTAGTATGACAACCAAGATGGCGGGCACAGGAACGTAGTATGTGTAACAGGTTAGGGTTGGGCCATACTTTTATTCCAATTTTCCTCATTTTAGTTCTATAACAAGCCAAGTGACTCCCGTAATATTTGTACCTGAAATTATGGCCTAACCTTAACGGTGTCTGCCATTTTGGTTCACATATTACGGGAGTACCCTCGTTTTCATTGTACCACCCACTACCCCGTTTTGTCCACATTTACATTTATTCGACGCAATTCAATAATTGTCACACTTCGTTTTGTTATGTTGTTGCTGTTCATCTTGTTAGTATTTCTTTTCTTCTTTTTGGGAAAATTTTATTATCTACTGATCCAATTGCTTTGAATTTTTCCGTGGTTGAGGTTTGTATATTCAGCAAAGACGTCATCAAAATTAAAAATTGCGCTCCTTGTGGCGGTTTCGAGTTTGCGTTAGTTGTGATCTGGTAGCCAGTCGAAGTCGTGAATACTGCGGTACTGGTTGTCTATTATGATAGATTGCATACCCGCACTACTTCGTTTTGGCTTTCGTGTCCATATATTAGAGCATCGCTCTCTCGTTCGTTGAAAGCAAGCGATTTGGTAAAATTCGAAACAGTCGAAACAGGACTTAAGACGAGATGTCTTAGGATAAATGGGCAAACGTTCTGAGTTACGAATTAAAACGTCTGTCATTGACTGTAACCCAATACACCAATGTTCACGAACCATAGTATGACAAAATTCCTAACATTGGTAGCGATTTTTCAACTCAAATACTATAAAATTTACTTAATAATTCTGAAATTAACAACAGTGTCTATATATATGTTGACTTCATGCTTTAATTAAGAATTTATCGGTTTTGACTCTGAGATTAAATTTGGTACCGTCCTGCGCACAATCGCTTCGGCACGCAACTGGCAATAGAATCTCAGTGTAGCGTCCCCACAACAAACTAAAGCTAGGAAACAACGACAAACCGGGAGAATGAACTTAAAATAGACGCGGGGGTCTCTATTACCCATAGGGGTCTCATCGAGGGTTATGTTTACCCCCAAAAGCCCGTGATTGTTGATATATAAACAAGGTGACATAAATTCCATAGCATTCTATGCCACTTAACGCTCTGAGCCGTTCGCACGATATGTGAGTTTTGATATTAAAGGGGGTTAGGGTTCAAAAAAAGTGACGTCACAAATTCCGGGTATGGAACAAATCGAACAACAAGACAGTGGCAGTAGCATACATCCTATCGGAAGTCAGAATATTAGAAAAAGGGAAAAGTAATGTAAAAAGGCTGCAAGAAACACACATATGCAAAAACATCTTCCCACAATTCAATTTTATTTAGCAGAAAACATCTACCCACAATGCAATTAAATTTAGCAGACAATATTCTGGCAACCCACCAATAGTTGAGGTAATGAAATCTGTGGGGTCGTTTCACACGGGCAAATTCAACTGACAACTGATTGTTAACACAAACATAACATTTAATCCAAATGAAAACTGCAAAAATAATAAAAGCTCTCAAAAAGGCATCAATATGGAAATCGCTGCTAAATTCCGATCTTAAGTCGTCGAAACCTTTGGATTAAAACACAAAAAGTTTGTGAGTGTTCTGCATTCTACTGCAAGGGGGCGATAAGTAACCCAACTCGGGCGCCTTTGGGACAATGGGGCGGTGCATTGTTTCTCTGTGGGGGCACTCGAGACGCATATTTGCAACGGGGGCTAAATCTTTTATGTAAATAAATGCCTAACAAGGGTGAATTAACTCCAAGAGGGGTGGCGTGACCCCGTGAGACGAAAAGCGGGGACGCGTATCCGGTGCGTTTCCGGACCCCTAGTTGTTGAATGGATGCTTGCATTTTAAAGAACTTGAGAATTCGAGTAGTCCACAACAGAGTGTAATGAGCGCGACGCGAAATACAACAATGAATATGAACGTGAGAGATTAATGATGAATTCTGAAAACTCATTCAACACAAATTTGAGAAGTATAAAAATTAAAAAATAACAGTAATAATAAGCATTGCCAGAAATTTTCCGAGGGGTTCTGAACTTACTAATTGGCAAGTTGGGCGGTAACAGAAAGCGGGTCCAGGTTCCAGGTTTTTCAAGAGTCGCGTTTTTTACATTTCAAAAAAGGGGACGAATTACGACACCTCATGGCTACACCCCTGATTATAAAATATAAGCGAAGCTACTCTCTCGATGAGATGGCGATATTTCGGATACGACTTTCATATTTATGTTGGGGAGAGAAAAGCCGAGCAGGTGAGGTATGGACTTGACAGCTGTGGAAGCCGCAACCGACCAGCGCCTATATGAACCACCCTTACGTGTGTGCAGCAATCATTTCGCACATAGATATCCCACGTGGGTTCCCCAATCTGCAATAGAAAATCGGAGGTGTGATGGCGAAAGAGTTACAAACGCTTAACTCGATGCGTCAAATGTATAGCCATTTCGATGGGTGTATAAGACATACGAGTATTCTATTCTACTTTGTTAAGGAGTGAATGTCGCACAATTAAGATTCGACAGTAACGACAGTTCAATGCTCTCCATAAGTTCAGATCACACACACCAAAATAGCCTATTACAATGTATATGATTACAACTGGTATGGGTTATGGGTGAGTATGACGTAACAATTAAGTCGTCGATATTTAACATGTGTGAGCATACACAAATTTTTAAAAATGACGACGATAATTACAAAATTGAGTTAAACTCGTTACACATTCTTAACAGAGTTACCATACAATATCATAAAAAAAAAATACACAGACATTTCGTTCCCTATAAACAAAACAGCAGTCTAGTTCGCGCTAGAAAATCTCACATGATGAGGGATAAATGACATAATAAGTTGGGGTAAAATAACACAGGCGGATGATCTGGTCCCAATGAAACGTAATACGGGCGCCGTAATTCTATAATTAGTACTTGCACTTCAAACCACAAAAGATAAAAGAAGGCGATAAAAGTATGGACTAATTTGGATTATATATGACATATTCGTTGCACATGACTTATTACGGCACCTTAACAAAGGAAAATTTAAAATTTAACGACGAATCATATTCAGTAAATGTGGGAAAGAAGAAACAATGGAAACAAAAATTCCGAATCATTATTTCAAATGTGAAAAAGAATGAGTCAACGCATAAATTCATGTAATCTAATCTTCACAAACAAAGAGTATGCATATTTTTCCTCGGAATATACAAACCGCTAAAAAACATTCGGATGAAAATTTATTACTCAACTTTATGCGTCAAATACCAAATTCGTTGACTAGATTTTCAAATTCTCTCGAAATTCTCAGTGCTCCGAGGTAAAAAAAATCTAATTCTCGCCTTTTCCATACAACGCCCACTTTTTCAATTATAAGTTCTAATGCAATAAATTTAATTAAATTGTAATCGTGTCCGTTCCCTTCATCCAGACGATACTGATTAAAGTGGACGACGACACCTGAGTTCATGAACCATGACCTCGAGGTCACGACCTTTAACTCCGGCAGTAAACTTAGATCTATCGACAATGGATAAGATTTAGTTTAGTTGTTAAAGCACCAATTCAATTGTACACTTGGTTGGGGGTCGTTGAGGCAGGGAAATCGTCTCAAATTTTACATCTGATTAAGCATGGAAAACAGGTAAATCATCCATTGATATGTGTTTCACCTATGGTCGCTTAGTGAATAGTGCCTCATAACTCAAACTTGCAGAAGGCATGGGTCAAATTAAGTCGGATAACCGGATAGGCTGACAGTAGTTAGCCACAACAAAAGACGGTCAAGTTACATTCATTTTTGGAAGTTCATTTACAATGAACGCTTTTATTTTAAAATCTGACAAAAATTTGAAAAATTTTGGCATCGAAATTGTAAGAGGCAACGGTGTTTTGTGGCAAATTAATCGTTGTTAGTGACACCAAGGTCAACTGCCCATTTCATTAATTGTTTGTAATAATTGAAGGATTTAATTTAAAAGCCTCGAGTGTAGGCACTACATAAATGGGAAGTTAGGATTGTAGACGGAAGTTACTTCGGAATAAGGATTACCAATGTATGATAAAATTAAAATTGTCACCCCGTAAAGAATTAGGTTGATTCCTGAGAACTTCAATGAACTATCGTGGTTATATCGTAACATGGGAAAAGAGGCGATGATGTCATATTACCATGACGTCATCAATGACGTAATATCGCTATCAAGCTAAAACCGCCAATACCTGGAATATCGGTATAGGTCAATATTCGTAATATTTAGTGGATTAGCATAAGAAATATTTTATTGGCAATGGTTACGTTGCTAATTAGTATATATAAGAGCCAATAACGCTTAAAAACCCAAATCACCATAACCTAGGGTGCAATAATTGTTTATTCTATTTGCAGATTAAATTGCCAAAACCTGGATCCCAGCCAAAATTGTGAACAATGATAAAATGAAATACTAACCTCAGCTCCAGAATACATTTCGGTTTTCTTCACTAACAATTCCAAATCAACATCAGACGCAATTGGAGTTTTACGAAACTGGATTTGAAATATATCTCTCCTTGTTTCTGCGTCAGGTAACGGTACATAAACGATACGATCGATTCGACCTGGACGAAGCAGTGCCTGAAAATAAAATAATTGGGACTTAGTGAGAATTAAGATATCTTGGGTGCATGTAGACATAGGAATTATATGGAGCTCCCTCTCCTGTTTGCACGCGCCTACACTCAAAAATATTTCGCAATGAGGATAAAAAAAATTGCAATCGCGAGGTTAAATGTATTGGAAACATTTATTGCACTCGACATACACACACCAAATGCGAATCATCAAAAAATCACACTTAAAGAACGAAGCCTTTTAATTAGTTAAAAAAAGTGTATGCTATTGTACGCATGGAAGCAATACATCTGAAACAGAGTTTCCCAGTCCGACGGAAATTTTCCCCGGGCAGGAATTCCATTGTTTTGGGGTTATTTTTCTAGTATTCTTTACTATGCTACTGTTACTGTAAAGCCCAATTCTGCATACATAATACAATCTTCGAAATATATATAACAGTCATACTGCGAGTTGTACAACTTTTAATTTCCATTAAAGATTGCACCAACAAGCGGAAACATAGTTTCTATGAATGGTGAGCGGAAATGATAAGTTATTAAAAATAAGAATGTATAAAATAAGCCGTCACTGATTTAAAAGATTATAATAATACATAATAACGAATGACGATCGCTTCAATACCCGTCCACAAATAACTATTCAGAGGCCGTAAACGTTTTCGTAACGACTTGTTAATGACATTGACATACACAAATCAATTACAAAGATGTATGAGAATAACCTTATAAACAGACGAAACATGACAACCCGCGAATCACGATTTCTCTTGAAAAGCACTGTTAATCGGAACATACACAAATACTAAACCCTATTATTGTATGACTTATCTTGACGGACGCCGGATAATTGAATAACGATGGTTAATCCGGACGAAAAGTAAACAGACCAAAACGGGACACGAGGCTCTCGAAAACTAGTGAGATGAGAAGATGGTTGTCAATCTTCGTCAGACTGTAAAAAATCAAAAAATATATGCAATTGGGGCGTAATTCAAAACTGTCACTAAACAAGTAATCTAAATACAGAATAATAAATACGAGTGAATAGCATGTTTCCAGGTGGAAAAGGTAAGAATATAAATTGCATCGGTAGACGGGTTTTGTGATTCCTTGGGCAAGAATTAGCATAGAGCCAATAGCACCAATGAACCCACAATCTCCAGTATGCATGTCAAGGCGATGAGTAGTAAGGTCAAATCATTTATTTTCGACCTCCAAAAAGCGCATATACAACAACATCAGACCCAACGGCCGCTTTTTTATTATTATTTCGAATCTAAAACCAAGTGGCATGCAGTAAAATTTAAGAACGAGCAATTTACATATCCTACAGAAAAATAAATACAGCGTGACCCCCCCAAAAAATAACATGAATTCCCTCATTACATTCACGAAAATGAAGACAAATTATTTAACACCTAAACTTTGTGTATGATTGTACACGAATATTTCAGTAATCTTGGATACTTTGCATAAAAAGTTATGTTCCCCTCTGGTATATGTTCAGAATGTCCTGGGTTACCCTGTGAATAAATTGGAAAATATCTTTTTATTGGGGAAATATTACGAAACATGGCGAACAAAAGCGTGAGAATGCTAAGAATTAGTTTCCGGTTAGCAAAAGAACGCGAAATATGAAATATTTGTCTTTCGGCAACACATGAACGACGAGAAACAGGTGGTCGTATTTCCCCGCTCCACTAAATCAAAACAGATTTCCTACCAATATAAACAAATATCCCCATTCGATTAGTTTCGAAGACATAATCCAGGTTGTAATGTGCAACACATAGATTAAACATGATCCATACATGTGAGTGATAATTTATATATGGACCAGAATTGTCTTCCAACAAATAAAAAAACAAGACACGCGTAAGTCATAAGTTAAAACAACACAAGAATTGGAATTCCACGACAATATTGTCATAACTGTATAATGGACAATAGCAAGATTCCGGAGGCATATTTTTCGACTGACCGCGCCCCCAATGACCTTTTATGGTCGATTAAAATTGTCCATCCGCCGCTCCCATTTTCGGACATGATGGATGGTGGTTTTCGACTGACCGCAATGCCCAGTTCAAACAGTAGGTTATAAGTTGTCCAGTTTTATGAATAGCACTAATGGAGCGTAGTGGAAAAAGGGAGACATACGGCTAAGGGTCTAGCGATACTAACAACAACTATATACATATAAACTGGCCACATATTTGTCCCACGACGACCAAATGCTTGTTGCCAAGAGTGGGTCATACTAACTGGTTAAGATGGGTTGTTTTACGAACAAAAGTGTAATATAGTATCGATAGTGAAGAAATGTGGTTCATTAGGGCAGTCGTTTCCAACTTTTTTCGTTAAATTCCTCTCTTTCCATTTCGGAACTCGTTATTTTCCCCTCATCCCGCATAAAAACTACTTCATTCGTTCAATGCTGAATGTAGGGAAATGCAACAGGCGGTCCGCCGGCCACTAAAATGTTAAATAAATAAAATTATGCATTGTGAGATTTTTTTAAATCTTTTGCGTGGACCAACTACATGTCCGAAGTTGTTTATATGGACCATGCATCGACAATATATAAGTATTATAGTAACATAAACTAAGAATATCCGTAATACTACAGCAAATAAAAATTCCTTCCTGTGAACGATGAAATTCCACCTTGGGAAAATTCATCGCCGGTTAAAGAAACTCTGCGTTAGGGCATCGTTGTGTATCGTAGGACGTAGAAGATGGAGAATTCGGCCAAAAAGCCTTCACGTCGTGTTTTCAGAGAATGTGAAAAACGCGGTAAAAAATTCTCGAAATTCGTTAGAAACAACAATGTATAAAATCCGCGTCAACATGTCGTGGTTTACGTTTCGCGTGGCAGGAAGGAAGGAAGCTATCACTCACTCGACAACGTAGATTTTTTACAATAAAATTACAAAATCCATGCTCGAATTATAGTGATAAATAGGGCGTTGTAAATGAGAGAAAACATACAGTTCGTCATGAGATTAATTTCCGGACGCCGGAGGGATGGTCATATGCAAGGAAATCTTTTCATCCCAATGGAAATGAATTGGGCCACGAAAGAGCAAATATCAACGAAAATGTTACGATTCATATTCATATGAGAATAATTTTTATTTCAGCACGTTTAATAAAAAGGTCGTAGTATGTTGTGCTAGCTTTAGTGATTAGATTGTATACCTCCATAATCCATGATTGAATCCATCCATCAATTTTTCCGCAGGTCAATTTAGGCAAAGTTAGTAACGATGTGAAAAAAAGGAACATGCCGATTTGGATTGGTAAAGAAGTATTTATATATTGTTGAAAAATTGATTCAAATTTCTACGTTTCAGATATAACGTTTTATATAAATTATGAGAAATAATTTTCTTCTAAGTTTGAAATTGACGAGATGAGACTTGATCAAAGTTTTCATGTCCCTTCGTTATCATGACGTCATTTTTCATTACGTAGTAGGTTTTGTATTATGACGTCACGTTTTTGTATATTTGTACTTCAATTCCTTTTTAATCGAGGTCATACTTGCCAGAAATGTACAGATTCCGCATTTTCTACTTTTACTGATATTCATAAACTCAGGTGACCGGAAATATACTTTTAAAATATCCTATAATCGGCATTTCATTTTAACAAGAAAAAGTTTTTTTTTACGCACGAATGATGCAACGTCATTTTTTATAGTTTGGTTTTGGTAGATTACTCAAAACTGTTAGTGTCGGCTCTTTCCTATGAAGAACTTTATCCACTGGACAAGGATTACTGAATTCCGTATAGTGTGTTTAGAAATTACAATAAAATCTAGGAGACTAAATAATTCCACACCAGTGACTTTTCAAGCACACCTGTATCAATTATATTTCCATTAGACATAAATTAGTCATTTTACGGTACGTGATATTTTGTTTAAAACAGATATGATCGGCAGCAGTGAGTCAGCGTCAGAACTTGTCTTAAAATATTTAGGACAGCTGGAGATATCCCCTGATTTCGTGAGCCACCATGATGCATTAAAATCTCATATTTTTAAAAGAATGTGTATTCGGATGTAATGTTTTTATTGAGCCATATAGCCTAAAAATGAGGAATAGGGATGTCCAAAACCGAATGATTCACTATTGAGAATATATTCTGAAATGGGTCCGTTTTACATAGAAAACTCAGACATTTGAAAATTCATGCAAATGAAATTTGGTTTTGCAAAATGTTCAAGACGAACACTGTTGTTTCGACTAGTAGGCTATTATCTATTTTATAGTGTGCGAAGTGAACTAATTTCATGTCTGACTATAAAGTATCAAATGCTTAAAAAGATAAAATTGAAATGAAAATGGATAGAATTTAGGAATTCGGCATACCGAATCTAACCAATTTCGCTTATATTCGAATATTCGATACGCTCTGAACATCCCTGTGGGAACATTTCAAACTTTGAGAAATTGTCGCATATCAATGTGTGGAAAGTCCCTTCATCTGAATACGTAGCTATTCAATTTATTACATAACAAGACGAAACAGGTTGCCATGTCCTATCAATCGGTAAATAACCCACTATGTCTTCAAATGTGATCTCGGTTCATGATTACACCAATCGCCTGATACATGTTCGATACATCAATCAGGATTATTCATTCCATATGGATTAAAGGTCAATCAACCGCTACAATACGTTCTGACGTAAAAGCATTCCAATACAACATAACCAAAACAATCTTACGTCTTGCGGTAATATGGTGAAACACGTATGCTAACAAAGAATAATGGTACAAAAATATTTTGTTGTCTTAAAAACGTTGTCATCGGCAGCCGCACCTCTGTATTGTTATGTGACAGAAAACATTTTCATTACAACTCCTATGAAAACATCTTAGACACTTCCTATTTGAAAAAATGTTCACCCCAAGTCTGTACAGAATCGAGTATGTTGTGCGGTCCATGTCCCAGAAACTTCAATTGGAGCATGAGGTGAAGAATAAACAAAGTAGGACCCAAGAATCTCACTTGACATACACCACACCCGATTATCGCGGTTAATTCATGTAAAGAATAAACAAAATAGGACCCAAGAACCTCACTTGACATACACCACACCCGATTATTGTGGTTAATTTCATAGTTGACATTAAGAGACAAATCTGTCAAGTTGTTGGAAGTTATTCCGTAAATAAGATTTTAATATGTTTTTATATTGTATGAATGGAATGACCTTTGTGGGGTTGAGTTTCGATTGCGATAGGTTAACACTGTAGCAGAAAACCGCCTCCACTCCACGTATGTGTTGACGTAATCACATAAAAATGGTTTCTGATCGTGCAACAGCGGTATGTACTTCTGTACAGTGTAGGTTTGAGGGTCTTCATTTTCCAAGTACCTTTCAGTTTCGCACGTTCCGCCACCTTTTAATCGTCTTATGGCTGTAATTGTTTTATTGCGATGTCTATTTAGTTTTGCTTCAGCCTCTGTGCTATCAATACGTCTATTATATCAAAACAATACTAAACTGACGGGATCCTTTCTATTAAAGGTAAATGTTTTCCTCCAAGATGGAAAAGACATACGCCGCAATTTTAAACCATGTAGCCACAGCCGTTCCACATCTGGTTTAAAAAAATTCAAGATTATTATTCCAGCTGGTACAACTGAAAACAATTTATCTAATTCTGCTTTGCATCACATCCTTAGTTATTACAGTTTGAAACAACTTCCCCGTGGAAAGAAGAAAAATAGTACATTGCTGTAAAATAGGATTACATATAAT